GTACAAAAGCAGCAGGCATTCCTGCTCTTCATACAAGCCCACCTTCAGCACTTATGACCTCCTTACTCTTGGAATTGCTTGCTCTAGCTGTATGATATAGGAAGGGAGGGTGAGATTCCGAAGAAATCCCCGTAGTAGTAATTTCCATCAAACAAATGTGCAGATCACATAAAGCATGTAAAACAAGCCAAAGTGAAACATAACCTTGCAAGCTAATGCAATTAAGCATTTATGCACAATGACAGATAGAAAAGCTGAATAAATAATGCGAAAATACCTGGCAATCACTGCCCATGTCTATTAAACAAACTGAATAAATAATGCGCTAATAATTGGCAATCACTGCCGCGCATATAATTGGCAATCACTGCCGTGCAAATAATTGGCAATCACTGCCGCGCATATTATTGGCAATCACTGCCGCGCAAATAATTGGCAATCACTGCCGCGCATATAATTGGCAATCACTGCCGCGCATATAATTGGCAATCACTGCCGCGCAAATAATTGGCAATCACTGCCGCGCATATAATTGGCAATCACTGCCGCGCAAATAATTGGCAATCACTGCCCCCTGTTTATCAGCTGCACGTGGTCACGGCTAAAAATCCAGGAATTAACGATTACATGTTCTCATGCTTTAGAAAAGTAATATGGCACAAACAGACATACAGTAATCATACATAAGTGTAAGGTAGGAAAGAACTACTACCTGAACCTTCTACTTCAAAATCAAACCTTACTTGTTTCCTTCCTCTTAGCTTCTTCTGTGGACTTTTGCAGATATCAAAACCTATTATTTTAGTAAGGCAGGTTAATGCTTGATCCAACTAAAATTCATAAATTAGAAATCTCTTTTTAAATCCCAATCCTTTTGCAATCTCTATTAGCCTTTGATTACTCTTATCCCCTTGCCTTACAAGCTTACTAATCGAAAGTGTGTACACAACACCTCAATCCATAATCCCTACTAAAAATTTTCTAACAATAGGGTTGACTTAGGATAAAGAAGTAAACCTTTTCCAAACCCACATATAGAGCGTCTTTCCTTCAAATCCAAAAGACCCGATGAATACTCCCCATTCAAATAGCAATATAATGTATATTCAAATGATACTATATATATATATATATATAAATGAACCGAAATCATAACCGTATATATATTTATAGGTCATCAACCTTTCTTTTCCACTGAACCCGAAACCAAAACTTGCAAGCATAACAATCTCCATTCGGTAAACTTCAAAAACAGAGCCACAGCACATGTATGTATCTACATACATATATATACATACTTATACCGAAACTATATACACACACACACACAGAGTAGTCGGCCAACACGGAACATATATATATACTATACTCCAACACGTTACAACCTACCCAAGCCGATAACACATATAAATATATATATTTATATATATACATTTTGCATCTTCCTCGGACAGCATATATAACAATCGTGAATCCATAAGTATTCACTTATACACCTTCCAAAATCTCACTCCAACAGTCACGGCATCCCCCGCGCACAGACAGACACACACACATATATTTAGCTTATTACTCTAGCATTAACGTGTTTCATTCCCCTCTATTATCCAAACTAAAACAACAACTTCACAAATACAACAGCCCTGTCACGGTACCTATAAACCAGCGACTATATCCCCTGTTTCGACGACTAAAGAACAGAGGAAGTAACCGATGCATATATATATCTATTACTTCCTGTTAACTCCAAAAACTCACATGCACGCCATAAAACGCACTCCATAACCATCGACAAACACCGTTCTTTCATCATCATTGAGTTTCAGATTCAACCAATATTTTCTCTAACTAAAACGTATCTCTCTCTCTCCTTGACAACACCAGAAACATGACCGAACCCAGAAAATGAAGACAGTGATGGACATGTGAAGCTCACCTTGACAGTTCAACCGGTTTGCAAGCAAGTGTAGCTCCTCCGATCACCACCTCCGTCGCCAACTTCTTCCTCTCGCTCTCCGTCCTCACTCTCGGTCTCTCAGCTCTGTCCGTCTCTCTCGTTCTCCTTCCCTTTTTTTTTTCTTCTGGACACCGAATGAAGTGGGTTAGCCGCATGGTAACCAGCTGTTACATGGAGAATTAACTTTAGACGCGTGGAAGACCAGGTGTGCCACGGAGAAATGGTTCAGCCGTATTGAGGAGGAGGCAGCACGTATATTATAAGTTCCTGGACCAATCTTGACCTCACACATAATTATTTCTCCAATCCTATCATTTCTCCAATTTTTTTTTTTTGAAATATAAGATATATCCAGAGAAAATAAACCAGTCTTCCCTGAAAATTATCTATTAAAATTATTTAAGCAATTTTTGAGAAATACCTTTTCCAAAATGTCTCTAAACTCTAAAAATCATTATTCCATAATTTTCCCCTTTTATTTGGCAATTAAATAATGTTAATAAATTTTTCTCTTTTCTACTCATCCTAAATCATAAAATTCGGGGTGTTACAATTCTCCCCCCGTAAATAAAATTTCATCCTCGAAATTTAGATAATTACCTTGTGGCATAAAGTCTGGATATGACCTTTGCATTTCTTCTTCTACCTCCCATGTAGCTTCTCGTGGTGAAAATCCCCTCCAGACCACTTTCACGAATGGAATACTTTTACTTCTCAATCTTCTCTCTTGTTTGTCAATGATTCGTTCAGGTTGCACATCATAAGTCAAATCATCTTGTAGATCTAATTCTTCATGTTCAATGACATACTCTGGGTCTGGTTGATACTTTTTCAGTTGAGACACATGAAAAACATTGTGTAACTTGCTCAACTGTGGAGGTAGAGCTATTTGATATGCCACTGGACCTACTTTTGCAAGAATCTCAAATGGTCCTACGTATTTTGGGCTTAATTTTCTCATTTTCATCGATCTTCCAATGCCTGTAGTTGGTGCCACTCTTAAGAAAACATGGTCTCCAACCTCAAATTCTAGCGGTCTCCTTCTCTTGTCTGCATAACTTTTCTGTCTGCTCTGAGTCGCCAGAAGTCTCTTTCGAATGAGTTTTATCTGTTCAGAAGTTTGGTCAACCAAATCTGGACCATATAGCTTTCTTTCACATAATTCAGTCCAACATAGTGGAGATCTACATCTTCTACCATACAACGCTTCATATGGAGCCATTTGAATACTTGTATGGTAACTATTGTTATAAGCAAATTCAGCATATGGAAGGATGGAATCCCAGCTTTTCTTAAAATCCAAGACACATGCTCTCAACATATCTTCTAGTGTCTGGATAGTTCTTTCTGTTTGCCCATCAGTTTGTGGGTGATAAGCAGTACTGAATCTTAATTGAGTGCCTAAAGCTTTATGCAAAGATCGCCAAAAATTTGAAGTAAACCGTGGATCTCTATCTGATATAACACTCTTAGGCACACCATGTAGTCTAACTATTTCTTTTATGTACACCTGCGCTAATTTATCTAAGGTGTGGCTAGCTTTGATAGCTAGAAAATGTGCTGATTTTGTCAAACGATCAACGATCACCCAAATTGCATCATACCCAGTTGAAGTTTTGGGTAAACCCGTCACGAAGTCCATTGATACACTTTCCCATTTCCATTCTGGAACTTCTACTGGTTGCAAAGGTCCTGGAGGCTTCTGATGCTCAACTTTAATCTTCTGGCATGTTAAGCACCGTGTTACATATTTGGTAACATCACTCTTTAACCCTGGCCACCAATATAGAGACTTTAAACCCTGATACATTTTGACCATACCCGGATGAAGAGCTAACTTACTTTTATGAGCCTCATCAAGAATTCTTCTTCGTAACTTTGCTTTTAATGGTACGTAAACTCTCTGTTTATATCGAATTAAGCCACCAGGAGAGAAATCATGATCTTGAGTTTCTCCGTTCTCAATTTTTACTTTTAATTCTCTAGCCAGACTATCATCTTCTTGAGCTTGTTTTATTTCTTCCCATAAGTCATTCTCAATTCTTGATACTGCATAGTTTCCAACTATGATTTCTTTGGTCAGAGTTAGATCTCTGAACTTTTCTAGCAGCTCATGTTCTTGTACCAACATTGCCGCCACTTGAACTGTTTTCCTGCTCAACGCATCTGCAACTACATTTGCCTTACCAGGATGGTATTTAAATTCAAAATTATAATCTTTCAAGAGTTCCATCCACCTTCTTTGCCTCATATTCAGCTCTTTTTGATCTTGAAGATACTTGAGACTCTTATGATCACAATACAATTCGATTTCTGTTCCATAGAGATAATGTCTCCATATTTTTAGAGCATAAACTATCGCTGCCAGCTCCAGATCATGTGTGGGATAGTTTTCTTCGTGAGGTTTAAGCTGCCTGGAGGCATAAGCTACCACTCTGCCCTGCTACATCAGGACACAACCCAAACCATGCTTACTAGCATCACTATAAACCACATATCGTTGTTGAGGATCGGGAATAATTAAGACTGGAGCGGTCGTAAGCCTTAGCTTTAACTCTTGAAAACTGGCCTCACATTTTTCATTCCACCTGAATTCTTGATTCTTTCTAGTAAGCTTGGTCAAAGGTAATGCAATTCGAGAAAAGTTTTGAATGAATCTTCTGTAATAACCAGCTAAACCCAGAAAACTTCTGATTTCAGTTACTGTCTCTGGCCTTTTCCACTGCAATACCGCTTCAACTTTGCTGGGATCCACTGAGACCCCATCTTCCGAAATCACATGGCCGAGAAATCTGACTTCTGTGAGCCAAAACTCACATTTACTGAGTTTAGCATACAGTCGTTTCTCTTCTAGGATAGTAAGAATTGTTCTCAAATGCATTTCATGCTCTACTCTACTTTTGGAGTATATCAAAATATCATCTATGAAAACCACCACGAATTGATCCAGATATTGTCTAAAGATCCTGTTCATATAATCCATGAATACTGCAGGCGCATTTGTTAGACCAAACGGCATCACTAAAAACTCATAGTGACCGTATCAAGTTCTAAAGGCAGTCTTCGGTATATCTTCTGCCTTGACCCTTAATTGATGATAACCTGACCGAAGATCGATCTTTGAGAATATACAGGATCCAGCTAATTGATCCAGTAAATCATCAATTCTAGGGAGCGGGTACTTGTTCCTCACTGTTACTTTGTTTAACTCTCGGTAGTCAATGCATGAGCGGAAACTTCCATCTTTCTTCTTGACAAATAGTACTGGAGCACCCCATGGTGAAACACTGGGTCTTATGAACCCTTTTTCTAGTAGTTCTTCAATCTGCTTCTTTAATTCCGCCATTTCATTTGGTGCCATTCGATACGGGGCTTTAGATATAGGTCCAGCTCCAGGTACTAAGTCAATATTAAATTCTACTTCCCTTTTAGGTGGCAATCCGTTGATATCATCAGGAAAAACTTTAGGAAATTCACATACTACTGGAATATCTTCTATTCTCATTTCTACTTCTGCTTGTACTGAGAAGAAAATCATATAACCCTGACCACCCTTCTGAAGACACTTTTCCACTTTAGCCATGGATATAAGATTCAATCCCATCTCTATTCTAGGATTCTTTTTAAGTTCAGGGAATAGAATTCTTTTATTTCCACAATCAATTAACGCATTGTTAGCAGACAACCAATTCAACCCTACAACCACATCCATGTTATGGAATGTCATGCAAATCAAATCTATCACAGAATAATACTGCTCAAATTGCATCAAACAATTCAAACATGCAGTTGCAGTAATAGCTTTTGCACCCATTGGAGTAGAGACAAGCAATTCATAGGGCAATTCACTAATTGCCAAAGCCATTCTCTTAGCGCAGTCATACGATATAAATGAATGACTAGCACCAGAATCGAACAATGCTTCTACGAGTTTGCCATTGATCAGAATCATACCTTTGACCATAGCAGGAGATTTCTGGGCTTCTTCGTGAGTCATTGCAAAGACTCTTGCTTGCTGTTGCGGCTTTAGCCCTTCATTTCTTTGTCGGCACTCATAGGCATAATGCCCTAGCTTCCCACATTTGAAGCACGCCTGTTGGCCCACCAGACAGGGCCTACCCATATGGTTTCTTCCGCATCGAGTACATTCCTTCACTTCCCTCTGTTGTGGAAATCTTGGCCTCTTCTGCTGATTATCTCTTCTTACATTTCGACGATCCCAGGAAACAGAATTTTTCCTCTTCCTAGGCAGCCCTCCAGATAAAGACGTCTCCGCCTGATTGTAGTTCTTTATTTCTTTGCGAGGTAATAAGCTGCTCTCAGTAATTCTGCATACTTCCACTGCAGTATCAAAGCGGGATAATTGCATAGGTGCCAGCTTTTCCCGAAGAATAGGCTTTAATCCTCTAATTAACTTTCCTGTACTCCACTTTTCATTATTATTTTCCCGCAATTGGGTGGAGTAACGAGACAATCGAATGAACTTTGCTAAATAATCCTCGAACGACTCATTCTCTGCCTGTGTCAATGTCAAGAATTCAGCTTCTTTTTCATCCCTCACTGACTGTGGAAAATATTTCTCATTGAACTTCTCTTGAAATATTTCCCATGTGAGAGGTATGTTGTGGGCAAGAAGCATAAGCTCAGTGTTTTTCCACCATCTATCAGCATCTCCTTCCAATTTGTAGATGGCCATTTGAGCCTTCACTTCAGTAGCACAATTCATTACTTTGAAGATTTTCTCTAATTTCATCAGCCAGTCTTCAGCAGCTTGTATATCAAACTTCCCTAAAAATTCAGAGGGATGATGTTTACAGAACTTTGAAATCCACTGTTGTAGATCTTCTGGTTCTGCCACCAATCTTCTGGAATTTGCTTCTGAATTTGGTTCTAAATTTTTCGGCAGTGATGGTGGCGTTTGTTCATTCTGTGGCTGTCCACCTTCCTCAAGATTTCCCTCTCCTTCTTGACTTTGTCGCTCCCGGTTTTCTCTTAATTCATTTCTTAGCTCTTGAATGGCTTGCTGTTGTTCATCCAACCTATCAAGGATTCGTTGTAATGGATCTGATGAAGATCTATCTTCACCAATTTGTATTCTTCCACCACGTAGGTTTACCATATTCTCTTTTCACTATTTAGAAAAGAAATAACTTGAAATTAATGTCAACAACAACAACCATAATCATTTCACACATAAAATTATACATAGTAACTCATAAGTTCATTACATGTCCTTAAAATACCCTCCACAAGCTCACACATAGTCATTTCACATGCATAATTATACATCACAGCTCTTAAATTCATTACCTTGAACCTAAAACAAATTATAATAAATTCACACAGATTATAAAACAGTAGTCTCAAGTTATAGCATTGCATGTTTCATATAACATGCCCCCTCACAAATTGTTGTAACTCACACATGCAATCATCTATTTTAAATGGTCCATGCAATGTGATTTCTTCTTTCTTCTGTACCCACTCAGGCGTATTTGGAAGAAAGCACATAGCAGTTTGTATCCATACTTCATCTGGCTCGGAACGATAGTATCGCAAGTCACCGTTCCAATACAACACCTCAATGTGCCCTAAGAATGTCGAGTACCTTTCCCGAACACTGGTAAAACAGTTACATATCCTCTGGTATAACCTATCCATGTGCTCATATATTTCGGGATGAGGTTCACGAGGGGGTGACAGATCACGTACAGGATTCCTTAGTGGTTGGTTAACAGATGACTCGGATCTAACACTTCCACCTTCCTCACTGTAGTTTGATCCAGTCTCAGATGGTGCATGGTTCTGCGTCCTAGGTATAGTTCTCCTTGCAGAACGTCGTTGCGGCAGGCGACTATAAACAGACCTTCCTCTCCTATCCATCTTCTCTACAATCAACCATACTCACCAAATCATTCTTCTATTACAACATTAATAACAGTATATATATATTACGAGCAAAATATCCCAGCCTATTGCCAGAACCTCCGCTCTGATACCATAAATGCAACACCTCACTCTCATATATACTAATAGGATCATTTCTAACGTCTGTGAATCACTAACACCAGGTTTCTATCCTGGGAGAAGACAGGGAAATTTTTTTTCTTCTTTTTTATATATATATATACACTAACAAGTGATTCACACACTTAAACCCTACTTTTGAAACACGTGTAACAGGCACACAGATTTAAAACAATACTACTATTGTATAAGTACTACCCTGGTCATTCAGGACAATGACCCTTACTTGAGCACTAAAGTACATACTCCCTTAAAGGAGGATACAAAATAGTATAATTACTAGTAAGTGGAGGTTACTTGCTCTTAAACTTCTAATAAGTCAGATAATTAAATATCAAAATAATTATTCTGTAGGTACAAAAGCAGCAGGCATTCCTGCTCTTCATACAAGCCCACCTTCAGCACTTATGACCTCCTTACTCTTGGAATTGCTTGCTCTAGCTGTATGATATAGGAAGGGAGGGTGAGATTCCGAAGAATCCCCGTAGTAGTAATTTCCATCAAACAAATGTGCAGATCACATAAACATGTAAAACAAGCCAAAGTGAAACATAACCTTGCAAGCTAATGCAATTAAGCATTTATGCACAATGACAGATAGAAATGCTGAATAAATAATGCGAAAATACCTGGCAATCACTGCCCATGTCTATTAAACAAACTGAATAAATAATGCGCTAATAATTGGCAATCACTGCCGCGCATATAATTGGCAATCACTGCCGCGCATATTATTGGCAATCACTGCTGCGCAAATAATTGGCAATCACTGCCGCGCAAATAATTGGCAATCACTGCCGCGCATATAATTGGCAATCACTGCCGCGCAAATAATTGGTAATCACTGCCCCCTGTTTATCAGCTACACATGGTCACGGCTAAAAATCCAGGAATTAAGGATTACATGTTCTCATGCTTTAGAAAAGTAATATGGCACAAACAGACATACAGTAATCATACATAAGTGTAAGGTAGGAAAGAACTATTACCTGAACCTTCTGCTTCAAAATCAAACCTTACTTGTTTCCTTCCTCTTAGCTTCTTCTGTGGACTTTTGCAGATATCAAAACCTATTATTTTAGTAAGGGCAGGTTAATGCTTGATCCAACTAAAATTCATAAATTAGAAATCTCTTTTTAAATCCCAATCCTTTTGCAATCTCTATTAGCACCCCGAGTAAGGGCAGGTTAATCCTTTTGCAATCTCTTTTGCAATCATTAAATCCCAAGCCTTTGATTACTCTTATCCCCTTGCCTTACAAGCTTACTAATCGAAAGTGTGTACACAACACCTCAATCCATAATCCCTACTAAAAATTTTCTAACAATAGGGTTGACTTAGGATAAAGAAGTAAGCCTTTTCCAAACCCACATATAGAGCGTCTTTCCTTCAAATCCAAAAGACCCGATGAATACTCCCCATTCAAACAGCAATATAATGTATATTCAAATGATACTATATATATATATATAAATGAACCGAAATCATAACCGTATATATATTTATAGGTCATCAACCTTTCTTTTCCACTGAACCCGAAACCAAAACTTGCAAGCATAACAATCTCCATTCGGTAAACTTCAAAAACAGAGCCACAGCACATGTATGTATCTACATACATATATATACATACTTATACCGAAACTATATACACACACACACAGAGTAGTCGGCCAACACGGAACATATATATATACTATACTCCAGCACGTTACAACCTACCCAAGCCGATAACACATATAAATATATATATTTATATATATACATTTTGCATCTTCCTCGGACAGCATATATAACAATCGTGAATCCATAAGTATTCACTTATACACCTTCCAAAATCTCACTCCAACAGTCACGGCATCCCCCGCGCACAGACAGACACACACACATATATTTAGCTTATTACTCTAGCATTAACGTGTTTCATTCCCCTCTATTATCCAAACTAAAACAACAACTTCACAAATACAACAGCCCTGTCACGGTACCTATAAACCAGCGACTATATCCCCTGTTTCGACGACTAAAGAACAGAGGAAGTAACCGATGCATATATATATCTATTACTTCCTGTTAACTCCAAAAACTCACATGCACGCCATAAAACGCACTCCATAACCATCGACAAACACCGTTCTTTCATCATCATTGAGTTTCAGATTCAACCAATATTTTCTCTAACTAAAACGTATCTCTCTCTCTCCTTGACAACACCAGAAACATGACCGAACCCAGAAAATGAAGACAGTGATGGACATGTGAAGCTCACCTTGACAGTTCAACCGGTTTGCAAGCAAGTGTAGCTCCTCCGATCACCACCTCCGTCGCCAACTTCTTCCTCTCGCTCTCCGTCCTCACTCTCGGTCTCTCAGCTCTGTCCGTCTCTCTCGTTCTCTTTCCCTTTTTTTTTCTTCTGGACACCGAATGAAGTGGGTTAGCCGCATGGTAACCAGCTGTTACATGGAGAATTAACTTTAGACGCGTGGAAGACCAGGTGTGCCACGGAGAAACGGTTCAGCCGTATTGAGGAGGAGGCAGCACGTATATTATAAGTTCCTGGACCAATCTTGACCTCACACATAATTATTTCTCCAATCCTATCATTTCTCCAATTTTTTTTTTGAAATATAAGATATATCCAGAGAAAATAAACCAGTCTTCCCTGAAAATTATCTATTAAAATTATTTAAGCCATTTTTGAGAAATACCTTTTCCAAAATGTCTCTAAACTCTAAAAATCATTATTCCATAATTTTCCCCCTTTATTTGGCAATTAAATAATTTTAATAAATTTTTCTCTTTTCTACTCATCCTAAATCATAAAATTCGGGGTGTTACAATAATGAAAAACTGGAAGCTAGAAAAAGCATTGAAATCCCAGCCAATCCTTTTTGTCATCCTTATCAGGTTATTTTTTATGGGGCTTCCTGTTTTTTAATGATTCAATATTTTACTTCGATTTTTGAAGCTTTTCATTTTGAGCAGGTTATGACCCGATGTATGTGAAAATTATAACATGAACAAAATGATGGAAAACAAAATCTCGGTTCAAATTTATTTCTATTCCAGAGAAATAAATTTTGAGAACAAATATTTATCTACTTCAGTTCTAATTCGTGATTTATTTAAAAGAATATTGACGACTACATCTTTTAAAAAACAAACACTGATAAAAAAATGCCTCAAAAAAATTGGGACAAAACCAAACACATGATGATGAAGGGTTTAACTTATATCCTGATAATTAAAGAGACTAGTTTTGAGCAAATACAAATATAAATATAAAAAAAAATCTAAACATACCTGACAAACTATTATAAGACAACCATAGCAGTTCAAGTGAAGACAAGTTAGAAATTGTTTGGGGAATTTCTCCTGAAAGCTTGTTCCTTGAAAGTTGTAACTTCTTCAAGTGCTTTAGACTTCCTATCTTCGGTGGAATGGTACCTTCAATGATATTAGAATTCCAATCTAAGGTCTCCAACCTCGATAGATTGATCAAAGATGATGGAATAAATCCATTGAAACTGTTATTTTGAAAACTTAAGTGTTCAAGCATAGATAAACCCCCTATCCATGTTGGAACTTGTCCATAAAAGTCATTATAGCTCAAGTTGAGTAGTCTCAATCGACGTAACTGAACTAACTCTTGAGGGATATAACCACGAAAGTTGTTTTCACTGAGATCAAGTTCAACAAGGAATGAGAGATTTCCCAATTGTGGAGATATGGTGCCCTTAAGATCCATGCCACCAAGATTCAACGATTGAACCCTTCCATGATGAGTATTGCAGGTGACACCTACCCAACTGCAAGGAAAAGAAGAGACTGACCAATCAGCTAAGGAATTGTATGGATCCAACGTGATATAGGATTTAAGGGAAAGAAGGGCAAATATGTCGGTAGTGATGTTTGTCTGGGTAGCTAAGCTGGTCATGGAGCAATGAAGTAAGAAAAGGAAAACAAAGGCTGGAGATTTTTCCATGTTTTGCTTAGCGGACTTGTCAAATTTGCAAGTGTTGTGCATCAGCAATGAACAAACACGTCAATTTATACTTCTCCGATTCTAAGTCAAAGTCAAGGTCAGCAAGCTCAATTTCAAATTGCAAAATAACGCGTAATCCTAAAGTAATGTTGTCTGGGGCCCTTTTATATGTCCCTTGGTAATAATAATGAACAGATTATCCAGATTTAAGAATATCCATAAATATAAACAACTAATTACAAATGACCCAAGAGAGAAATCACATGTTTGGTAAAAGTCAAAAGTAGTGTGACCTTTTAGTACCGTGTGGTCCTAAAGTAGCGTTGTATATAGGACCCTTTTATATGATCTTCTGAAATAAAATGGGAAAAAGGTATTATTTATTTTCGTTAGGCCCCTTTTATACGATGGCACATAGTAACTATAAAAATAAATCATAATATCTATGACCTATATATTATAATAGTCTCATTTTATAAATGAATTAAAAGTAGCCTATTTTGGTAAAGTTTATTTATTAATATTAACAACAGCAACAAGATTTTTCTTCAAAACTACTTTTTTATACACACACTGACACACATATTTAATTAACTCCTGACAAGGAAAATGGCGTGTTGATGGGAAAATAAGGAAAAATATATTAGCGTGCTTGACTCGTAATCACAACCTATTCGACAATCTTCATTCACTTATGTTTGTTAAAACTTTTTATTGGTAATAATGGAGAGTTTTTGAGTCTAAAAGAGTGAATCTTGAAAATTACGACTCTATCTAAGATTCTTTTCCAAATTAATTCCTTCTATGTATTAGGAGTCATTTTGCCCAATTTTTATTTTTTGGTAGATATATTTTAATAATGATATTTTTTTATATTTTTATGTTATAATATTACTTATACTAATATCATATAAATTTATTACATTAGTTATGAACTCATTCAAGAACATATCTAATTTTCTATTAAATTAAATCGAGTATATTTAGCTGTATGTAACCGTAAATATATGTTTATTTTATCGTTTCTCTTGGAGTTCTAATTTATTTTTCATAATTTAGAATCAAATAATTTTCTTTTCTTTTGTATTTTAAAATACTATCTTTATATTATTTAGCTTTCCCAAATTAATAGAAATATGTCCAATCAAATTTTATAAGAATTACGGCATAAACACGAGCTAACAGTAATAAATATATAAATGTTTAGCTAGTGATTTATCCAGTTTTGAATTTTGGATAAATAAGATATTTATTCAGAAAAAAATTTTATTGTCGTTATCTTCATCTTGTTTCCTCATATAAAGAAAAGAGGAGTTTAAATAATATTTTTAATAAAGTAACCTTTTTTTACACTGTCAATAAAGTACTCCCAATGTCTTAATATAAGATCTATTTTACTAATTTGATTAGATGAAAAAAGTTAGGTAAGTTAGTTAATTATAAGAAATATGACATGATATTTTTTTTAAAAATATAATAATCATCTTTCTTAATATCCTCTCACCTTCTCTTACCTTTTTGTTTTTGGTATAACTCACAATATCCTCAAGTCACTTTGAGTTTGAGACTAATTTTTATCAGGCGAGGGCATTAATGTTAATGCCATCCCAACAAATGTGCTTTTTAGGATTCGATCTTGTGTTCTTCTTATGAAAGTGAGACTGCTTATCATTTTAACTAACAGTTTATTAGTCTCCTTCTTCTACTTGATTATGGTTGAGGGTGTATGGTGATTCAGCGTATTTTAAAATATTATCTTTATATTCTTTAGCTTTCCCAAATTGATATATATCCAATCAAATTTTATAAGAATTACCGTCTAAACGGGAGCTAACAGTAATAAATATATACATGATTAGCTAGGGATTTATATTTATTCAGAAAAAAATTTTAAATAATAAAAAATAATAAATCAGATGACTTGCTGTTGTTGTCGTTATCTCCATCTTGTTTCCTTCGTACAAAGCAAAGTGGAGTTTAAAGAATACTTTTAATAAAGTACTTTTCTTTACACTCTTAATAAAGTGCTTAAATAGTTCAATGGATTGATGGTGTTTGTCGTTAAATAATATGCATGATTACGGACACCATGAATTATATTACTAAATATTTTAAGACTATATTTCTCTAATTTAGGGGATTAAATTCATAACAACCATCTTAACAACCATCTTTTCAGGGACTCGTGTCATTCTCTCCCTTTGATTTTTGGGAGAACCGCGATAAAGTCCCACAGAAGAAATATATTTACAAAAAAAATCTCATAACAATTAAAAAGCTCATAATTTCAAGTTCCAAAATAAGAAATGACAAGAGGTTTTAACTACTTACTTATTATTTGAATTTTTTTTGTAATTATCTTTCTTTTTCAAGATCTTACTGTAGTTTTCCCTTGATTTTTCTACATATCAATCATCAGATGCATTGTTTTGTAATAGTACATTCATTTGCATATTATTTTTTTGAATTCTCATATTAATAAAATCCTCGAACGTAAGACAAACATGATGTTTCTTTGCAACAATGTCGTCAGTTGCAAGTGTTTAAATATAAAGAAAATAAAGAATGATAAGAAAAAGAGATAAAAAGAAATTGAAAATTCAGGAGTTAGGGGTAAACATGATGTAATTAATATTATAAGAAGAAACAGATTCATTTGCTTATGTGTTAGAATTTTCTATCGGTAATAATTGAGAATTTTTTAGTCTATGACCCATACATACAATACAATGATAATTTTTTAATCTACTGGATTTCTTCTTTTTTTTTTTATAAGAAATTAAATGACTGTTGATTAATTTAGAATTTTAAATTAAGAGTATAATGCAATTTTTTGCTTTTAGACTCAGCGATAAGTAGGCACATCTTAGCTTTTCTTTATTTTAATGGCGTGCGTGCTTCATTAATTTGAGCTTTATTGAAACATATGGTGTTTCATTTTTAGCCTATTTGTGCGCGCACACTATCAACAAAATAACTAATTTTCTTAAAAGAATTAGCTAATAGTTTTTAACCTTTTTTTGGGGGTAATCCTAATCCACAACCTATCAAACTTGACCAAAAATGAAATACTATAATAATAACAAAAAAAATCAGGGGAAATTGGCGGAAAATTTCTTTATAACAAAATTTATTGTTCACAGGTATCTCATAAGTTCTCCAATTTTTGAAGGGATGAAACTCATTCTTTTTTCTTTTTTTTTTTTGAATGGTGGATGAAACTCATTCTTCAACTGTAGGCAACATATCTTCATCAGCTGTGTGCAACTATTTTTTATTTTATACACAATTAAAGATAAGTTGCATGCAATTAAAAAAGAGTTGTAGCCATTGATGGGTTACTTCTAAATGTTAAACAAATTTCATGTACCATTTTTTGCCCTTCTATGAGTTGTATTGCCATGAAAGCGAAAGAAAATCATGTTAGAGATGAGGAAAATTAAAATTGGGAGAATTAGAGAGAGGGACCTATTGTGGCTAATGTTTATTGGAAACGATTTTAAAAACTGTAATTATTTAGAAAGACCAACTACTAATATATAAATTTAAAAATATTAATTTTGCTCGTCACTGAATCTCCTATATTCTCTCTCACCATATTCTATTATTATCCTACTTTTAAATGAAATAATGAAGAATTCAAACTCATCGGAATTACAAAGTCTGAAAGCAGTTCTAATTAGTAAAATTAAATTAACAATCAATACTAATTAATTTATTTGTCCATCATTTTTTAATTAACAAAACTCTTTTTTGGCTTTTTGGAATAATGAGCCTATTAAAGTTATAAAGTTTAATGGCTATTTATTTGTTTATTTCATACTATTATTCTATTTCATGCCTTATAATCCCAATTTAGGATTAAATTGAATCCTCTTAAATAATACAATTACAAATTTTAAAAAATAACATAATAATAAATAACATATAATTTGTTCATAACTTATAAAAATGAAAAATATGGTAGCAATTTTCTTTTATGAATGTTACCACTTCATATATTCATATCGTATGGTAGATGTTGCCGTGTCATGTATATTTTTCTTGGAATTTGATATCATTAATCGTTAACACAATACAAGTTCAAGCCTTTTTATGTACGAAATTGAACACTGAGAATTTATTAAGAAAAAATATAGAGGGAAAAAATACAATAAATATTTTTTTTTGATGGAAAAATGCAATAAATATTGAACCCAAATAAAAAGCTCTTTTATTCAGTATTTGATACTTGGTCTTATTAGGTCAAGTTTTTATCAAATCTAAATAGAGATAGCTCTTTCAATTTTATCTTTTATATTTAGGTAGACTCAATGTGAATTTTGGTACTCAAACTATTATAGTTACTTTTATTATAATAAATACCTGTTGATATAATGACTTTTATTTGTTACTTTTTATTTGAAATTTGTAATTTTATTAAACAATATGATTCAATTTATTTCTAAATTGGGTTTATAAATTTATATTGTCCTGAAATAAAATAAGAGTACTTTCGTTAAAAAAAAAAGATATGAAATAAATAAATAAAAATTTATAACTTTGATAAGCTCATCATTCAGAAAGCCTAAACAAAGTTTTATTGATTAAAAATGATGAAGAAAATAAATTAATTAGTGTTGGTCATTAATTTAATTTGATTAATTAGAATTGGTTTTGACTTTGTAATTCTAATTAGTTTGAATTGATATGAATACGCCATTATTATTTCATTTTAAAAAGAATAATTATAGGATGTGGTGAGAGAGAATATAGGGATTTACTCAGGGGCAAAATAGCATTTCTAAATTTATATTTCAGTATTTGGTCCTCTAAATAATTATAATTTGTATGATCCTTTCTGATAAATATCATCCATATGAGGTCCCTCTTTCTAATTCTCCTGTTAAAATTTTGATCCGATAAATAGTTTGTTACCACATTAAGAATGATATTTTTATTATCATTGTATT